AAGTTGTTGTCATAGTTACTAGCACTTCAAAAAGAATGTATCTTCCTAAAAATAGGATGCTTTAGTGGTTATGAGAATTTTAAAGTAAAATAGACACCATTGATGATGAAATTGATGGTTTGCTTTCTGCTTGTATCTGTTTTTCACATTCTGTGGCATTTTGGTGCATAAAGTTTCGTTTGAGAGAATTTTTATTTCAAAATAGAAATATCATGACTTAGAGAATGGAAACTCTAAAAGGTTCAACTTTCTAGTCATCAGTTTAATATAGTCACAAAGGTTACCAGTAGTCAATCACAACTGACCTATATTGAAAATGAGTTAATTTAAATTTATACAATTTAAGTATTATACTTTCTATCCAGGTGTAGGAAAATAGGTAGTATGTTGGAAAGAGTATGGGGCCTAGATGTCAGGAAGTTTGAATATTAGTGTCAACTCTGCTTCTTCCACTGAAGGCCTCTGGGCAGTTAATTCAGCAACCATTTCTTAAACAAATGAGTGTCAGGCTTTGTACTGGGATTGGGAATAGAGATGAGGAGCTTGCTTTCAAGGTTCTCCAAGGCCCCACTCGTCACCTCAGCTCATCTAAAATGTACATTTGTTTATAAATGTACACCCTCTCCTGCCTCCTTCCTAGGGTAGTTGTGAGGATCAAATGAGAATATATGTGAAAACACTGAAATGGTTTTAAAAAAAAACAAATATAAGCTTTGCAAAATGCATTGAAACAAAAGCAGATTAATGGTTACCAGTGGCTGGGTGGAGGAGTTAGAAAATATATATGAGCCATGGAAATCTTCTTTCATGAGAAACACTTTTTAAAAGTTTCTTAGATCCATAACGCAATTGGGAATTAGTGAACATGTTTGTTTTTCCTTTAAATAAGCACATTAACCTGAGTTTTTTAATAGATGTGAAAGTTTTACTCATGGACTAGTGATATGGTTGAAGATCTTGGCTTAGTTATTCTCCAGGAAAATAACAATAGTGGTTTTGTGTGTGTGATTTTCTAAAATTTCCAGCCAAAAAACCCGTTTCCGAGCCCAGTGACTGGAATACTCGAAGGCTGACTGTAGGAGAGGGAGAAATAGATGTTTTCTTGGTTCACTGACGACTGGCCCTTGCTTGATTTCAGCTGCAGCACATCGTGAGTGATGAGATCTGTGTGCAGGTGACTGACCTTTACCTGTCAGAAAACAATAATGGGGCCACTGGAGGCCAGCTGAACACACAGACTTCAAGGAGCCTCCTAGAGTCAACATATCAGAGAAAGGCCGAGCAGCTCATGTCAGATGAGAATTGCTTTAAGGTAAGAGCTGCTGGTGACGGTGTAAGTTGTTAGAACTGTCAAAAGCCGTACCAGGGTCCTTTGACACAGTGATCCCACTCCTGGAACTCCTTAGGGTTTCTAATGAGCCCATTAGAGGAAATGCAAAAAACATGGTGAAGTGGAAGTGAAGCCTCCCGCCCCGCACCCACCCCATGAATATTCTGCTTTGTTCCTTTCTTGCCATTTTTTATGCCTTTAAAAAAACTCAGTTGTATGATTTTTTACTTCTATCTCTGCTTTTTTTTCTAAACAGTATTCCATATTATAACACTTTGTAAATATTGTTTAAAAGTATTTGTACATGTAATCCATGATCATTGTAGAAAAAATAGAAAATGCAGGCAAAAGAAAAAATAATCACTTATACTTCTTCCCAGAAATAGTCACCAATAACATTTGTAGACTTTTCTATGCCTGAGTATATATTTTGAAAGAGATTGTACTGATGCAGTATTCTATAACTTATTTTGCTTAATTAGCAACATCTTTTTTTATAGCTATTTAATATCTTATTTTCTAGAGAATCATGCCTGTCTTATTGGACATTTAGGTTGTTTCCAGTTTATTATAAAAGCAAACAGAAACCTAAATGTCCAACCAGTATGGGAATGGTTAATGACAGCTATCATGTAAATACTGGGTAGCATATTTGCAGTCACTAAAATTTAATTATAAATTGTAAAAATGCTGAAACAAAGAAAAGGATACAAAAGTGTATGTACTATGATTGCAGCTGTGTAACAATGGGCACAATTGGACAGAACCTGTATGTATTTATGTAAGAAGGGAGGGGCAAGGGGCCCAGAACAAGATTTGTAGTCGGCGGAGCAGAGAGATCTAGGCTAAATACCTCGTTGTATATATTCCATGTACTTTAATGATCTGACCCCAGGTTGTTCACTTAGTTGTTTACTTGTACTTTCAGCTATTTTGTCAATTTTTAACCCATCACCGCTGGCTTTTCCTAATTTAGAATCAGAGAACTGGAAATGAGTTTTCTAGTTCAGTCTCAGATCAGATGTTCAGATATCAGTCACCAGAAGATTTTCCCACTCCAAAAAGTATTTCCTAAGCTCTTCAGGGTTTTAAATCATTAAATGTTTGTTTGGAGTTTACTGTGTGTTTAGTTTCATGGTGAATGAAATTACAGTCGCTACCCACAATGAGTTAATAATGTAATTGAATTGTGCAGATAAGGGGCTATGAAGGAATGGGTAGAATCACCCTGTAGGTAAGAATGGTTAATCAGAGTGGCAAGAGGGAATAGCAGGAACAAAGGCTTCAGAACCAGGAAAGTGGTGCCACCCAAGTGATCCTTCTTTAAAATGTTTGACACAGAGAGTAAAATCAGTAGTCTTAGTTTGGCATCAGCAGCCCTTCAGATCCCCTAGTCCTCCCCTCTTCCCTTTCCAGCCTCATCTCCCTTCTTCCCTTTCCAGCCTCATCTCCCTTCATTTATTCCGTGCACATGCTACACTGCTTGGCTCTGTCAAGCATGTTTCTCTCTCTGATGCATATACATCAAGACCGTTTCCTGTGCACTTACACACATACGTATGTATATGTAGAAATCAGTGTTAGACTATGCATATTCTACATCTTTTTTTCACTTAATATGTCTTAGAATTTGTTCTAATTTGATTTATATAGAGATCCATCTCGTTTCTTTTAACTGCTGTGACGTATCTAATAGTATGGATGTATCGAAGTTTTAAAGCATCATTCCCTTATGGATGAACATTAAACTATTTTCACTTTTTACTATCCTACATACTGCTGCATTGAACAGCCTTTCAGTACTTGTATCCTTGTGTGCATATGTTAGTATTTATCTAGGTTAGAGACAGAAAAATGAAATTACTGGGTCATGCATAGTTTAAAATTTAAATTGTGATGGATATTACCATTTAACCCTTCAAAATGGCAGTCTCTGCTAGTCAGGATACACTTTCATAAGAACACTTGTTTCCTCATCCCTTGGTCGACACTTGGTTTTATCAAACTTTATTTTTGCTGGTCACATGGGCAGGAAATTACATTATTTTAATTCCCATTTCCCTGTTTGCTACTGTTTCCCATTTCTTTTTCCTTTTCCGTGTATTGCTTGTTCATATCCTTTCCCTTCTTTTTGTGTAGTTGTTTTTTTTTTAATATACTTTTGTCAGCATAGTTTTCTCTGCCTGAAATTGGTCTTCCCCTGTATCTGTCCATGCCCAGCTCAGTATCACGTTAGTGAAGCCTTTCTCAGCTTGCTGAGCAGAAACGATTTACTCTCACAGCACATGTGCATGTTTCTAGAATAATACTTTTGTAGTTACTTAGTTGTAGGTATAGCTGTTTATATTCCTGTTTTCTTTTAATAAATTGAGCTCCTTCAAGCAAAAACCATGTTCTCTTGTGAATATGCCCCCTGCCCTGATGTATCATAGACATTCAGTGACTGTATTGAATGAATGAAGTATAGGATATTAATGAAGGAGGTCTAAACAGTAGAGGATCTCTATAGCCATACTAAGTATAAGGTGTGGATTTTCTTGTGGTTGGTGAGCTGTGAAGCATATGAAGGAGTAGCTGCCCCGTTGGAGTTGAACTTTCAGGAATATCAGTTTGGCATCACTGAGTAAGGAGGAATGAAAGTACTAGAGACATGTTTACAACTGGAGGGCTACTGAATTGGGGTGAGGATATGGACAGTGTAATAATGAAGCTAGCCAATACGACTCGGACACTGGTTGCAGAAGTGAGAGAGCTGGCATGAAAACAGGCGGCATAGGTGGAAGAGCTAGTTGGGGTGAAATTGAGTTCAGTTTTAGACAAGTAGAGAGGAGATCTGATTTTCTCCATGTGATTCTGATAGTGATCATGTCTGCAGCAAGCCCTTAAGGTAAAAGCATTGATAATCCCAGGGTTCTGAAAGGGAGGAGGGGGTCCATGTGTCATCATTTCAGTGTTCTTTTATGCAAAACATGGTTTACTTTTGCCTCTGTCCATGTGTTGCTTTTAAATATTACATATTTTTAAATCACACAAATAATATTAGCAGAACTCAGAATTTCAAGTTTCAAATACAACTGATAACCATTGCAGTAAATCTTAATGTGTTCATATTTTTTGGGTCCTTTTCCCAAGACATGTTTAATATCTTGTGGAGTCTTTACTACAGTGTACATGCAGTTATTCTTTGTTGTTGATGTTTTCCACATAATATTGGTATTTTTTTTTTTTTTACCCTGTAGACTTATTTACATCTGTGTACTAAGTCTTAGAAATGGGATTATCAAAGTAGAGGTCATTGACATTTTATGGTACTGGCTACATATGCCTCTTTTTCTTTCTGATGAACAAAATACTTGTTTTTTAAAGAACTCTTGCTGGCATTCCTTATTTTAGCTTTTCTGAGAGACATGAAATAGTACTTTTTGTCTTAACATATTTTGCTGGTTGTGAGATTGGATTTTTGACTTTTTTGTCATGTCCTCTCAAGCTCTTGACT